GGGGGGGGAAGCTTTCCCTTTCCCTTACTTTCCCTTTTCTACCTACACATATCTTTCCAGACATCAGCTCTCCTCTCCCTTATTTCCATATAAGCTACCACTAGTTACTACAGCCAAGAATTGGGGGACACGAGTCATAAGACAGGAACAAAAAAGAACAAGTTGCCTATTTATCAGTGCTTTAAATCCAATACAGCTACACAAGACCCTTTTTTTCCCTCCTGTTCCTGTTAAAGGAAAAGGCAACAAGGAGCTGTCAAATTGACCCAGGACCAAGGCCCACCTAACCCAGTATCCTGTCAATCTTCAGAAGACACCTGCAAGGAAATACTTAATCCCTAGAATATTTTAAGGGTTGTCTTAAAATATTCTCAGGAGGAACTCCTCCCACCAGGCTAGGAACACACAGCACTGCTTGCCATTCATCACCAGTTTCCACTGAGGTCTAAGAAAGTATTTGCTCAGGCAGACCTAGGACTGGCAATGCCACACCCTGTGCTCCTGCCACAACTACACTACTGGGACTCCAGGTTAGTGATGCTCAACCTGCACAGCTCAGAGCAACTCATCCCTGGAATACCTAACCCTCACTTCAGTGCTCTGCTACACGGAGAGGAAAGACACCGTATGTTTGGAGTTAAGGACCAGGATTTTCTTCATTATCTTTCATGCCTCTAGTGGGAGGCAGTCCAGAGAGCTGTCTTGACCCAAAACTAAGGTAAAAGATATGCAGCACATGTCATGCTCACAGTGTCTCAGCAACTTCCATAAACCTGGATTCCCAGTATGGAAGTAAAACCAACAATGATGAATGCCTTAGACATCATAAGGTTGGATCAACGGTGCTGGAAGTCACCTGCGCTAGATGGAAATAAACATAGCCAATGGCTCCTCACCCACAGTCCAGCCCTTCTCCAATCCTCCAATATCTGCATATCAAATGACAGGTATCTGTACATCAGAATGTAACTTTACCTTTTGCTTTTTATCAGGGTCCCATTCTGCTGGCTCTCATATCTGGAAGCTGCTCCTACACCAGTCCTGACAGACTGCTCCACAAACCCTGCTGGCTCGGCCTTGCGGCTCTGCCTGTCAACAAGCGGCCTCTGGCTTGAGAAGCTCCTCTTCGCCAGCTCCCTCTTCTCTCCCACGCTCCCACTCCCGAGGCCACCTTCCAGCTGGCCTTCGCTCTCGGAAACTCCATCTCGCCTCTCCCGCCGCTCGCTGAAGTCACTGCTTTCAGATGCTGTCTCCCACTCCTCGTTGGCATGGTCCGATGAGTTCTGGTAGGACAGCTCAGGAGACCGTCTGCCTGAGATGCTGCTCTTCTCTGCAGTGGTCAGCTTGGATCTTCCAGGCCACTGGCTAGGCAGCAGGTTGGGGCCTCCATCCTCAGGGTTCCACTGGCCAACCGATTCCCTCTCTTGCCTGAGGCGCCTGAATCGTGGGGGCTTGTCTTGGCGGGGGGGACGCCGCCTTCTGAATGGCCTGTTCTCTATGTTCTCCTGATCTGCCAAGTAATCCTCCTGGAAAAAGGGCCTTTTGTCATCCAGATGACTCTCATCAAAAACCCGGCTGGAGAAGGAATCCACGTGTTTATAAGAATCCTGAATGTAGTCCCTGTCAGACTGCTGCCTGCTCCCAAAAGTATCCGATGGAGAGGTGTGGCTGTACTCCTGCCACCCTGCTCCCCCACTCCTGCCTTGCCACTGGGTGGGCTCCTTCCCCATGAAACCCCTTCGCCCATAGCCAGAGTTGCTCAGTCTTGGTGGCAGTGATCTCCCAAAAGCTCTTGGAGCCCTCATCTTAGGATCCAGACTACTGTGATCATCTGAATAGATTTTGTTGGACCTCCAAGACTCTTTGAAGTCTCCCTTTTTCAAATCACTGTCCTCCCTGTCCAGCACAGAGCCTTCATTGCTGTTTTCCGAGCCCCTCTGCCGGCGCCGCTTGGGGAGCTCCTCATATTCTGACCCTTCACTGTGTGTCTCACTTGCAATCCGGCGCCTTGGCTTGCCTCTGGGGAAGTCCTCCGGCTGGCTGAACTCCCGAATCCCTCGCCCTCGGCTGCTCCGCTGGTTGTTATAGACTCCCCGGTTGCCCACAACAGTGCCTCGGCCTCTGAAAGTGAACTCTCTGAAGCCTCTCCCTCGCCCACGCCCTTGACCTCTCCCACCAAAGGCTTGTTCCTCATCAATGAAGATCCAGTTGTTTCTTTTTGTGGGAGGGAGATCACCAGACTCTCTGGATAGTTTGTTCTCCCAGGTTCTTTCTGGCTTCTCTTCCTCCTCCTCTTCCTCTTGGGATTTCTCAGCCTCTCGGGCAAGACTGGCTTGGGAAGAACCTTTCTCATCTAGCAAGTAACGTGTGGAGTTCAGTAAGGATGCAGAATCATCTGACTCATTTTCTGCTTTCTGAACAGCTGCCTTCTCCTTCAGTGGGTGCGAGGTGTCCTCTCCCTCCAGTTTAACCTTCTCCATCTCCTTCTCCTTCTCTTCCACCTTGAGGGCTTTCAGCACTGGTTTTTTAATTGGGCCTGATCGCCGCGACCTCCCCATTTGCTCCTGGTGCTGACCACTGGTGTTCCGGTTCTCAGGAGCCCACTCTGTTGTTTCTTCAGTGGGCTGTTTGGTATTAGCTCCTTCTTTCTTCCATGGGTCAGCACTGAATGACTGCTCATCCCTGGACACTTCTTCAGCAACTTCCGCTGCAGCCTCTGCAGGTTTCTGATGGTGGCTGATATCCCAGCCATTATATTCAGGCTTCTTCTCTGCTTGGATAAAATCAGGCTCCAGGGGCGAACACCTCAAGTTTGCATGGCGGTTGCCAGCCGGACAGGTTTCCTGCACGGTCTCCTGATGCTGAAACAGGAGATCTTGTCCAATCCTCTGAGAAGACAGGCAGCTGTCAAAGTCTGCTTGGGCCTTCTTGTCGAAAGCATTCAAGTACTCCTCCCCTCTCTCCTCAAAGAGATCTCGCTGGGTGCTCAGACTCTCCGGCCTTCCAGGAGAAGCCGAGTAACTGTCATTCCTGAGAAGGAAACAAACAACAAACAAAAGAAAGTCAGCTAATGTAGAGCACAGCACGTCTCCAAGGGCCCAGGCTGGGCACAAGAGGTGGAAACAAATAAATAAATTGGGGTCTGTTCTAAATCATGAGGCAATGAGCCTATAAATACCTGAATGCTGGGCAGATCTGCTGTGGCCCCAGGCTGTACTGCCTGCTTTGTCAAATCAATGGATGATAAAGAAAGCAGTTCCTATGATGGGCAGCAAACTTAAGAAATAAAGGGAGGTTCAGCCTCCAACATATGTGGAGATCTGAAAACAAGGAACTGGTTTCAGAAAGTCCCAAAGAATTAGGAGACAAACTAGAAAGTATCAGAATTTTTGACTCATTGTTTTCTGTACCTACCCATGTAGGTGACAAGTGCCTCTCTCCTACTGAACAGGCTCCAAGCTGGTCAGCCTCGACTGGCATCAGATAGAAAAAGCTCTGAACAGCTCAGTCTGTAAGCACCTCCATTACATAAACACTCAACAGTGTAAGGGTGCTACCACATCAGTACCTTGGCTTGTTCAGAGATATCTTTTGGGTCAACTCTACACCTGCTCTTTAGTAGGAGATGACTTATGGCAGCACCTCCCATCACAGCATGGATGAGGACATGGGAGTTCTGCACTCACCTGGCATGCAGCCCCTCCACAGTCACGTTGTCAGCCTGTTTTTGATGTGACAGGGGGTACCCTTTGCTCTGCAGAGACGCGTAGCTCTCCTGGCCCCACACTGGCACAGGGTCCAAGGGAGCAGTTTTCCTTTCTGCCTGCCCCGCCTGACTGTTCTGATCTTCAGACCGACATTTTCTGCTGAATCATGGGCTTCATAATTCCTGGTCACAACAGAATTCATACCATTACACCAGGATCTCACAGCCAAGAAGAATTAACAATCTACAGCCAGCTTGACTCCCCTTCCTTTCAGGGCAGCAGGTGACTGCAGTCATGGAAACCTTTCTGGTAGAGAGGAGACTGCACTTGGGAAATACACAGCTGGGATACACCCCTGGAGTGACACAGATGACACAGCTTTCAGAGTCCAGCCTGCACAAAACACTACACAGCCATTGCTGGCTTGGAAGCAATCAGGTGTGTGAAAACAAACCACAAGCTCAAGGGAATGATTTATACATCCTGGTGTTTATATTCACACCTCTGAGGATCAGTAACAAGGTAGGAAGGTGCCAGAAGCACACAGCTCAAACTACAGGATTTCTCTATCACATTTCTTGAAGAGGATCTACTAAGATTTCACATGATTAGAGTAACTCCCAAACTGATCCCTCTCCTCCAAGGGTCAAGATCTGCTTTTACCACCTGCTAAGGCTCCAAAGCTGTTAAGGAAGATCTCCCAGTGCAGGGGATGGACAGGCAGGTGTCTTCCCTCCCAACCGCCTCTGTTTGCTCACCAGCCCTCATTGCAACCAACTCTTCCTCATCCCCAGAGAAGGTCAATCACAGCCAGCTGGGATGCAAAGTCAGGACAGAGGTTAAGATGGGTGAAGCACAGCAAATTAGGACAGCCATCACCATCTCAGTTGCTCAAATGCTCCCCTCCTCACTGGCCAGAAACCACAAGACTGACCAATCCTCAGGATGTTGAACACCTGAGCACTCACAGAAGCTCTCAGGCTGTAATGGACTCCTTGCATTCTACAATCTAGAAAACCAACTTCCAAAGTCTTAGGTCTGAGAAAACAGTTGCAGTAACTTTCCACATATGGACTAACTCAGCCACCACGATAAAGAGAAAACAACGAAAACACCTTACCTGAAGGGTGAAGGGCTGAAGGGTAGAAATCCACAGGAGTGCGACTCTGGGCCATGCGAGGGTCCATGTAAGAGGGCATCATCATCCAGCGAGGATCAAAGCCAAGCATCTGGGGATGCGGCGGGTAGAACGTCCGTTGGGGATGGGAATGGGATGGGGGAGGGTAGACTTGCTGCTGCTGCTGCCAGTGCTGCATCTTGTACAGCTGCTCCTGCAAGGAAGGATGGGCCATTTGACATGAACAGTCGTGTGCCAGGAATCACACTTGCGAACTGGCCAAAGGAGTGTTAGAGGCTCAAAAACAGATCAGATGGGAGGGCAGAGCAGATAAGGGCAATTCACTACCAACTGGGAACGTGGCAGTTGTTATTCTTCAAATACCCGGAACAGCCAGAATATGTTACAGCCAGAATCTCACACCACTATGGGCCGCAGTACCTGGCCAAATGCAAGGGATAAGCTTCAAGACTGGAGTTTGCATTTTCTCAACACTTCTATGAGATACAGGACAGCTTCCTTGTCAAACACAATTTCCTAAATTGAATCAAATACTTTGGAAGATGTTGCTCTTTGGAGGAAATGCAATTGTAAGTTGTTTAGTGTGCATATATATTAGTTCTACTCATGTTAGCAGAACAGATTAGATAAGAACAACCTAAACTCAGTTAAGAGAGCTATTAATATTTTATAGCATTTCCTGTGCATCCTCCAGAGGTGGGCTGACACCTTTGGGTTGTGTCCCATCTCCCACATGGCCAGTCCACCTTCCTTTAGCTGAGGACTGTCATGATGCTGATCTGACTTGACATTTAACTTTTGCTAAAGGTCAAAGAACAACCTATTTTTGAAGGGACCTTTGTGTCCCAAAGAAAGCTTTCAAAAGGTAAACAGCTCCAATTAACATGAAATACATCTATTCACCTGTCAAACTTTCCACCAACCTTTCTTACTAAGCTTACAACAGTGTCAGATACCATAACTGTTTATAAAAAAAAAGCCAATCCCCTACTACAGAGCAAGAGAGACACCTTTAAATCTGAACCTGACGCATCATTACAGCAAGAGAGAAACTCAGTTAAATGTAAAGATTACCTCCAAGTTATCTAGTGCTCCAGTACCTCAGAGAGAATATTTCATTAATGATATCAACACTATCTTTTATTTTGTTGTCTTCACGGAACCATTGCTACCAAAGCAGCAATACAAGCCAGCCAAAATACAAGCTGCCTTATACATACTGACAACACAGAGAACAAGAGAAAATATAATGAAAATTTTCTGTTCTTCCAGTAGCAATGACCTGTGGTTTATTAGTATGACAGTAAAGACATCCAATTATTTTTAGTTTAAGAGCATCTCTTTTAAAGATTAACATTAGCAGCATTTGCTGCTGTACATTTGAATCATGAAAATGTCAATTGCCCAGTAACAAGCATGGGGAACATCCATAAAAGTGCAATTACTAAGCGTCCAAGCAAAAGCCAAATGTGAGCTCTTCACTAAGGTTTGCAGCAGCGTTGATTATATCACATTTCAAGTGGTTATTCTACAAAGAATGGCAATTAACTTTGCATTATCTCAAGCCCGGATATTGTGTCCCTTCTTTTGACTCTGCTGCCCTAAGGAGGCTCATTGCATCTGGAAGAAGAGCTGAACAGTATGTATGGCACATACAGCACTGTAAGGCCGGGCAGGATGTAAGACATATAAAGCAGTTCCAGCTGGTCTCTCAGAGCCTCAGAAGAGAGTTTTCAATGAAACAAAACAAAAAAAGAAACAATTAAGACCAAACATATTTATAGTCCAAAGAAAATACAAATACTGGTTTGAAAGAGCCTCACAGAAAAAAAGTTGGGTAGGTAGAATGTGAGAACAGATGTAGAGGACCACCTCTCTGCAAAGGCAGGAGGTGGAACGAGAAGCATGCTGCTTCACAGCTCTCACGTTCAGCCCAGAAGCAGAGTCCAACCACCTGCCAACCTGAGCAGTTTGCCCCAGCAAGCAAATGGCTGCCCATACCTAACAGGGTAAGGGCACAGCAAGTGCCAAGTGAAACAGAAGCAGCTGATCCCCAAAGTTTTTCCTCTCCTTTGGCCTGTATATTCACCTCCCTGTCACTGTAGCAGTGCTAAAGAACAGCAGTTCTCACCTTGTTCCAGGGAGTAAGAACAGATGTTCACCAGGTTCACTGCCAGCCAAGGTATTAGAGGCTTCACTGGATCAGGCCTACAGCAAATACCAAGGTAGCCACTGCTGCTCTCTCAGCTTTGGACACAGGAAGGGAAACACCCCTAGCTTCTCTCCTGTTGTACACATTTGCAAACCAGAGCTCTGCTTCTAACCACATACTCTTAAGATTTCATGTTGTCAGGAGACACCCAGACAACCATGCAAGACAAGTCAACATTTCTGACAGCAGTGTCTACCTTTCTCCCAGACAAGTGACAAACCTGTCACTCTTCCCAGCCACAGAAATCCCTATCCACAATAGCTCCGGCACCACAGGGCACACGTAAAATACATGTAACCTATGTAGAACCCTTTTACCCCTGTCACACAGGACACATCTATGATCAAAAGTGCTGAAAAAGGCCAGGGTTACCCCATTTATCACTTCCCAGCTCAAAGACAGTCATTGGTTGTGTGACTGTGTTGAGAACCAAGCAAAGACAACAGTTTGGTGAGAGTCTAAAGGAAGGGGGGTGGGAGTGTCACACCTATTACCTGCTGCTGTTGCTGCTGCCTCTGGAATCGTGGGGGAAGAGACTTCTGGTATTTGCTGAATTCTTGTGCTGGGGAGGCAGCTTCTCTAAGCTCCTCCTCACTGCTGCTTTGGGCTGCTGCTGCTGGGGCAGGAGTCTCCTCTTCCAGATAGCCAGAGACATCCTGTGTGTGAAACTCAGGCGTTGCTGCAGAGAAGAAAATAAGCCTTTAAGAGCCCTGCTCATCACAGGGCTTGTGAGCGCACCACCACACCCAACGTACATGGGTGTGGGTATTTCATGACTGCGTTATGTGGTTGAATTTTATTATAATCATGTATAGCACCTCACACACAATTTCCCTGATTTGCCTTGACGGCTTTAGAGGGCTTTGTCCATCTTGTTTTAGTGATCAATTCCAAGATCCCCCTCTGCCATCAGACTTCTGCTTACGCACTTGAGGAAAAAGTCCATTTCCCCTGCCACTCCTAAAACCTGCCAGCACTTACTGGTAACTGATTTTCTGATCTGTGGCCCATGAGCACTTTCTTAGTATCATCATCCAATCACAAGAAGACCAAGAGGCCCGTGCCAACAAGGTATCTGCTAGCACAGCTGACTGAGCATAAAGGCAACAAAAGAAATTTGCATTTAACAGGCCTTTTTTTTTTTTTTTTTAACAAAAAAAGAACCTCCAACACCATCCAAAATACTCTGCAGAGTACATGGAGCAGCTGATCTCTCAAGTGCAACTGAAGTACTCTCTGAACACTCCCTCCCAGGGACTCCCCCCCCTTTCAAGTAAGAGATTGGCACAATAGTGAAAAAGTTTTGGGGTTTTTGTTGTGGTTTTTTTTTTTTTTTTTACAAGGTGAGGAGAGCAATGTTTCAGTACCTCTACGGAAAGCATGACCATTTTCTTGCACAGCATTCTTCTCTGTGCTTGGGGGTCGCAGGTCTTCATTCTCTGTGTGTTTCTGGGTCTCCCCACTCTTCTGGGCCAGTTTGCATTTCTGATCAAGTTGCTTCAGCTTTGCAGCACAGGCTGCCAGCCGCTCCTCCCTGGCTCGCCGCTCCTCCTCCTCCCGCCGCCTCCTGGCTCTCTCAACAGCCTCGGAGATCTCAGAGTGCACAAACTTCTGTCTCAGTGGCACCTTTTCTTCTTTATCCTCGAGGGACTGCTGTCTGAGAGTACTTCCCAGTGTGGGCTTCTGCCAAAGGAAAAACATTCCTCGATAAGCATGACCCAAACATCTCCTGTACCTTTAGCTTTGCACCTCACACTGAGAAAATACCCTCCTGACTCCCTCCCCTCTATCCTCATGCACACTAACCCCCCTTCTGGGGAGAGGCAGGGGCAGTTATTGCTATCTGGTTCAATAGCTCCATTTTCTGTCTGATAACCCCACTGCTCCAGACCAGCTTCAATGTCTTTTCTCTAGGAGGAGTGCTATGCAGATGGAACTCTCTCCAACTGGGTATAAACAAAGAATTGAGAAAAATTCATCAACATCCTGTTTTCAATAAAATGTCAAGCCGGCCTGTTAAGGACAGTGATGCATCACATCCAGCAGCACAAGCCCACTCACATGAGTTCAATCTACCTGGTATTCAGACGCAGAGCTCCACCCATTCAGCTTCCTTGGAGGCTGCTGTGAATCCTGCACTTTCCGGACTGACCGGGACAAGCCAACTGAGTCACCCCAATTCTTTCCTTCCTCCGAGGTGTGTTTGACATCTGCACTGTCTGCAGAGCTCAGGGACAACTGTCGCTGCCTTCTGGGATCCCAGCTGTTCCTATCATATAAACAGCTTTGCTATTACATTTGCAACTTGCCTCAAAAAGCATGTGCAGTCTTATCAGGTGGCAAAGGCAACTGACTGTAACAGAAAGGAAAGATCCAAAAAAACAAACAAACAAAAAAACCAGAACAAGCAACGCACTTTTCATCCTAAGGTACGTAAGGATTAACACCACTATTGGAAAAGCCTGGCAACCTGGCACTCAGCTTCAAGACCTACACACATCCTTGAAGCCTACTCAAACAATGGCCAGTGGAATCAACAAAGTCACAGTATGAATCAGGGGGATCGTGCCTCAATATTTAGAACAAGCTTTAAAGAGATCATGGTACTGTTTACTTTTATTGAAAAAACCCCTGTAGATGCAAATACAGCCACTTCTTACCACTTCTGTCGTCCATCTTTAAGAGTTTCTTCCTCTTCTTCATCTTCACTAAACTTCAATTTCTCAGAATAATCCACTTCATCATGAATGCCTACAAAGGCAGGATTGGAGAAGGGATGTATGTGAGGGAAAAACCAGGTCCCTTGTCCTGATAAACCTTATGCCCTCCCTGGCACTAAACCAGAGAACACACAGGCTTGGCATAAACTACTTGTTAAGCCAAATGCCCACCACAGGTACTGGAAATGATGTGGGTAGTGTGGACCCACAGTGCTGAACAGCTGGACTGGTCCCAGAAGAGGGGCAGCAAGCAGTCTGGGAATGTGAGACAGCCACCAAGCTAGACTGTGTGTAATCGGATACTGAATGCCATGATGGAAAAGGAAGGGCTAACTTCTTCCCAGCAGCCATACTGCTATCCTCCTGCTGTTTGGTGTTTTCAGTTTTTAGGAGTCTTCAGATCCGGTTCCTTGAGTACAGTGTGATAGAAGGATCAGAAGGATCCATTGTGTCATCATTTACACCAACAGCAATTTCAGAGCTACGCAGACTGCTCTTTGCTTCCCCTCCTCCCTTCCATGGCAGTGGAACAGAGCCACCAGAATATCCTATTTCATGCTTCAAGGAGGAGTAACTACTTTGCTTCACCTCCGAAGTTGTTTCCTGAAGCTAGAGAATGGAAGCACTTTACCTGCCCATCCATCATCTGCGTCAGTGTCTAGTTCATCCAGCCCCTTTAGGTTCTCTGCATTGATGATGGTGGGCCGAGGTGCCCTCTCTACTTGCTGTCGAACTGGACGTGTTGGGCGAGACAGACTGAGCCTGTTCTCTTTTCTACAGGGAAATGTGAAGAAATAGTTAGAAACAGCAGACAGCAAAGAAAAGAACGTAGAGCTGAGATTATAACAAGGGATCAGTCCTTTTCTACCATGCACTTATATATAAGGGCTCCAGGCTCCAAGTTTCTCTCCCTGTCCAGCAAAGTTTCTTTCCCTTGTCTACCTGGTACCCACTTCGTAGTGCTTGCAGATCAAAGCTGTGACCCTTCCAGTCCAGGATCACACACAACTACTTCTCACGTCCACCTGCTCTCCAGGCACACAGTGCTTACAGTCCTGCAACATTTCAGATGCTGCTGTAGTTGGGAGCAAAGCACTGCTTCTTTGGGTAAAAATCAGGTCTCCTCTGTGGCTGTCTGCAGCTTCACCCACACAACTAGATCCTAGGCCCAAATTCTTGCATAGTTTAAGCTTCACATCACAGCCTGAAACCTGCCTCTCAAGCAGGACAGTCATAGCAGCCTTACCCATCTGGGTCATTCATCTGGCACTGTCTGAAAGGTACCCGGGGCTCAAGTCGAAGCTGAGGAAGGGGGAAAGACCCTCGGTCCAGCGGTGCGGGGGTCTCAGATGGCTGTTGTGGACACATCTGGAACAAAGCAAAGCAGAATAGTCTGTTTTTTCTCCATGCCACAGGAAAGCTTACCCAGATTAGGTTACAACACAAGCACAGTAGTTGCATCTGCACAAAGGGAAAACAAACATTTCAAGCCTGGCTGCCTAACCGGCTGGGTGCTAATGGTTACCCTCTCCAGCTTTAGAGGAAAAGCAGAGACTTTTCCTTGGGCTCAGGAAGGCTGCGTTACACTATTCTAGCACAAAAGAGTAAATGCACAACAGGGGAAACTAAAAATAGATCAAGAGAAGGATCCCAGAGCAAGCCCTGGGAACCAACTAGAGTCCAGAAGACAGATCTCTCAGCTGACTTCAACCCATACACATACTGTAAGAAGCAAGGACATTACACAGCCATGGAGAAAGGGTAACTTACAAAAGCAGGTAGCATGTCATGGTATGTAGGTGGTTGGTAGACATTTCCCATGAACTGTGAAGCCCCTTTGCGGACAGGCTGAGCTGGGCGGAGAGACGGCTCCTTCAGATCGCTGGCGCTCACTGAGGAGGGGGCTCCATCTCCAGTGCTAGAGGTCTTGCTGCCCAGCTCAGCAGGGGAGGCGGTCAGAGATGTGGCAGAGGTTATGTTCCTCCCACCGCCCTCCCTCCAACTGGTGACATCTGGAAAGGAGGTAATATTATGTTAACATTTGTAAATGCAGACAGTCACTCTGCCAAAAAGTCTCAAAACTCAAATACCCTGGTCAAGCCCTAATTACACTAAGCATGTAGAAAAACATCAGGAACCAAGGAAAATTTCCAAATGTGTTTATTTTCCAAATAGACTAGCACAAAAAGCCATTACTAAGTAACTGCCGCACCAGTGGTGTCCTCATTTGTCAGTAAGCCTAAATTCCAACCAACTCTGCTCCCCATCTCCACAGTCCTTATCCTGCAGAATTAAGGCCAATTAGATCATGCACAAACACTCAAGGAGAAGCCAAATTACACCACCCGCTCATTTCACTTGCATTACACCACCCACTCATTTCACTTGTGACTCTCCCTTAGCTCGGGGGGAAGGGGTCTGCTTTGCAACATCACACAGCAATTTTTATTAAACAACGTAGTAGGTAACAGTCCATACTTGGCTGTCTGGCCACAGAACAGTGAATATCAGCACTACATGCAAATCTGTGGTCATTTGCTAAGCGGCTTGATACACGTGAGCTCATGAAAAAGATAAAAGGCAATGTAGGGATGGAATATCTGATACTACTATGAACTGGCATCCACCTGCCTAAAACATTGTCTATGGGGTTACAAGCTGGGGTAAGGCAGAAAGACACAACCATTCACTTACTCTGGGGGCGGAGGCTTGGTCCTGGCCCATACGACAGATCTAAGGCGCCCTTTTCTTTGCCAACCTTGTCCTGCTCGCCAGCTGCTTTCAGCGTCGGAAATTCCTCGGGAGAGAAGGATAACAGTCGGCTTGAGGCCCTTGAACCTGTCAGACAAATAAGTGTGGGACTCAGAGATCTTTCTACTCTTTCAATTCCCTTATGAGATCAGCCTGGAAACATGTTCCCTGAGAATCTGGGCCTCCAGCAGATTTAAACCCAAATTACTATCGTACCAGCACCTCAGCTCACATCCAAAACACTCTCAGACACTGTCACCAACACAACAACACATGCCCTCACCCAGTACTCCCACACTCTTAACCTGGGATCTTCATTTAAATTCTCATGTTCAACTAAGAGTGAACTTTCTCAGCTTCCAATTATTTTTGTCAAGTACAAAATTCAGACTGAGGCAGAGATAAATTCTCCACAATCACTTATAGATGATGCCCTGTTATCAAATATTTGACATTTCTACTCAGACTCTTTCTGCTCAGATCTCACTCTACCAGGGAAGTCTATTGTTAAGATTTCTGGCAATATACTCAGTGAAAGACCACAGATAAGGACCGAGTGCTATGTGCTACACCCCACTCTCCTCCCTGCTGCAGCATTTTTAAGATGCAGATTGCTGGCCAGATCAGGCCAGGTCCATTTCTTGTCATTGACAAATTGTCTTGCCAAGTCATCAGCTGCCCCAGAATGACAGCTTTCTGTCCCTTCCAAAGATCTGCCAGTGACTGGAAAACAAAACACAACAATTCTCCTAAATCTGTTGGCAAGATAACACTGAATAAAAGGAAATTGAAATTGTCACAGCATTATTGCACTACTAAACATTAAAAAAAATGCCGTTTTGAGAAATGTTTCTTGGTGTTATTTGGCTGGTTCTTTTTAAAAAGGGTATTTCAGAATTATCATATTAGAAGTATCAGGAATGAGTACAGAAGACCTGACAAAAAAGTTTCATCTATCTTTATCTTTCCTTGCCCTAAAGAGTCAAGAAGGATTGGCTTAAGTCATTTTTACTTTCTGGAACTTGCACACTGCACAAGACCTCCCATCTGAAGATTTCCAGGGAAGACACTGCAACTGCTGCAGGTAACATCTTCAAGTATTTTGGACAGATGAGAATACAGATGAAGGACACTTCTCAAATACACCACAAAATAGCTGAGATGTGCCAAGAGTTCTGATTTCTACTGCATTATTCTACTGATCCAGAATAGCAATGAGAATATTAACAACACGTAAGTGTCTTTCAAGGGAGGCTTCCACCCCCCAGGTAATGTTGCACAACATAATGACTGTTAATATGCAGGCACTAACAATTCGTACTCTATCCCTAGGTAGCATCACACTAATAAAAGTTTGGTGTATCTTTGTTTTTCTCCAAATGCGCCTTATACAGAAGACACAGGCATGGAGCAGTTCATATTAATTTACTAGACCGCATTTCCTCAGGATACGCCCTCAAAAAAAGGATTTTACAGCAGTAATACCTAAAAGAGAGCAAAAAGCAAAAGACTCTCCTCTTTGTTGATAACATTAGAAACTGCTCTATTATATTAGCTTAGAAGGAAAAACAATTGTTCAATGCCACTGGAGAAGAGGTGCAAGGATGGGATGGCCTAAGTCCTTTCAGCCAGATTTCTGATGCTTCTGTGATTCAATTACCTTCTAATTAAGCTGCTCTTAGCCACATATGCAACTCTTTCCTTGGGTTGAGAACTCTATATTGATAAGTGTTACCTAGAACGAGTTTTCAAAAAAACTTTAAGAACATTGTTAGATGATCAGATTTCAAAACAACTGTAAAGGAGGTCCACACAGCAACAGTCTCAAAAAAGTACAAATTAACCAAACAAGACACAGTCTTTGCACTGGCCACCAATCTCTGGCAAGCACAAGTCTCTGCTTTAACATTTAGCCTTTGAGAAACATCATCTCATTACAAGACTCACTTAATTTGGATAAGCTTATCCCCTGCATTTCTGCAATCTGCAGCTTCTCAATTCTTTCAAATCTCTCTGCAATTTCACTTGACAACTGAATGCTTCCAGGTCTGTTCACATCGCAACAGTGGAACTGACCTGTTACTCTCACTATAGTTTTAAGAGTAGTACTTAGTGCAGCTGCAAACCACCCGTGTGGAAATGGATGCATCTGAAGACAACTAAATTCCCAATTTACGTTAATACTGTTTCAGGATCCTCAGTCAAGCAGAAGACATTAGCAGCACAGTTACTCAGGGAGACTTTAAAGAAAGGCCTCAGCCAAGGTGTAAGCAAGTGCATATTGTGCCACTTCTGCTCACTGGCACCGTAACACCCTTGGAACAAAGATGCTGTGTACAGGCCTCCCCAAGTAGTATCATCACAGCCTCACTTTTGACCACCTAATCAGGTGAAGATTCCCACGCTACTAGCCACAGAGATGCCTACATTTCAAGTCTCCAATGTCCTCTCTTCTCCTTTCTTCTTTTCTCCTAAATCAATCCCTCCCTTCTTCCACTCCGTTTTCTGCACCTGCTTTGGGATGATGGAAGATGCTTATGAGGGGGCAAATGTCTCCCTTCACCTTCAAAATCGTCACCTCCCAGAACTCCCTGCTGCTCCCCAATCACACAAACCACTCTGGTTCAAGATAGCTATGGGACACATTCTGTTCAAGCTGTGTCTTGCACTGGCAGACCTGAACAGATGCAGTTGCATCTTTCGAGCCAACACATTACACTGGCTGAAAACAAGACTCATGTGGCCTCACTGCAGTGTAACCAAGACAGTTGTGTCCCATTCCCGACTAGTCCAGACAGGAAAGACAAGAAGAAATGGTGTCCACCCCATCTCATGCCTGTCTGGGAGAAGTAGGCATATACCCAGCTCCGCTTCTGTTTATCATACTCACCACCTTCTTGTCCTGCTGGCTTTCCATTCAGCTGTGCCCATGACTTTGGTCCACCTGGCACTGAATTTGTACTCTGAAAACAAAACAAAACACAGAAAAACCCCAATGCCCACAGATCAGTGAAGTCTCATGACTGTTTCTCATTTCCTGACTGGCACTTGCCATGGTTCAGACCTCTAGATCACCCAGATGACACTGGACACCACAGGTCTCCCTAGCTTCTTGTTGGGACTAAACTTAACTGCTCCCCACTCCAGTGTACTATGCTGCTACAGCAAAAATCCTCTTCTCTGTGCTGCCTCTCATCTCACCTCTGCTCATCTTCAACTATTTGCTCAAATCATTCCTCCTGCTTTCCTCCCTCTAATCAAGCTTTCCCTTTGTTCTGTTGCATTTTCCCAAATGGTCCCTCTTAATCTTCTAGATTTGTTCCATGCCACACCTCAGCTTGAAGGCTACCCTACTTCCTCATGCATTAACCACTCTTCTCTTCAAACCATAACTCCTGTCCTGATTTCCCTGAACCTCAAGGTCTGGGATTTTTTTTTTTTTTAAAAACTAGAAGTGCAAGGTCTGTAGCACAGAGGGGCCAGGTCCCTGCACTCTCTGTGGAAGCTTTCTTAATTGCCAGTAGCTTTTTCAGGTCCTGATACTGGCTACTTCTCCCACGTGACTAGATCTCTTCTTATCAAGTCTCATCAGGCTAGGAGCAAGAGCTGGATCTGTTGTCACCAAGCAACACTTGAATTAGACCCAAAGTAAAACAGTTTACAAGTGTTAACCAGCCATCCCACATTCTAGCCATTCTTTCTAGATCAAAGCTAGACTTTCTGCACATACTTGAAAGGTACAGAGGTAACGTGCACAGAATTATACTGCAGCAGAGTATTCCTGGAGCACAGTAACTTAAGACAGTCAATTCTTGTAGAGAATTGATTATGCAGGAGCTGTTTTGTGAAGTGCAGTCTGCTGATTCTTACTTGTACAAGGCAACACAGACAATTAAAAGAAAACCCTCAAGCTGTCTGGGGACAGGGGAAGCAGGGAGGCAGTCACAGAGACCACTTGCACCTACCTCCTGACTGATTGACTGTGTCGGCTTCTGTAAATTGGAGACAGATTTCTGCAAACCCTGCTGCGGCAGCGACTCCTGCAGCTGTGCAGCTGTCGCACTGGAACTGAAGAGAGACAGCACAGGTGAGGTCAAAGGGGAAGGCAGGCAAGAAGACAAACAACTCTGGCAATATACCAGTTGCTAAAAGATCAAGCTACCATTGACTCTACGCTGGCACGGACAACAGAGAACTGATCACTTTAAGGTCCAACACACAGCACAGCAGCGCACAACTGCTGCTGCTTGCCTGACAAGACTTAGCGAAGAGTAGGTCTACCTACCTCTTTTGGTCTGGCTGATCCTGCTTGTTTGCCCATCCTGTACCGTCCTTGGGTACTATAATGATGTTGGGGTCGTTTCCTTTGTTCTCAGACTTCAAGCTAGGCAAGTTTGCAGGAGGTGGCATGCGCCGGGCAGCAGCAACTTTCCCAAGACTCTGTAAGCCATGTCTAGGAATAACTAGTGAGAAAGGAACAACAGCAGGTCAGAGAGGGCTATATCCTGCTAGAAAAGTAACCTTAATTAGCATACTGTGGCTGGGTGCAGTCCCAACAGAACTGTACAAGCAGCATCACTGCTGCTATGTCAACATACAGGTCATTTCCCACAGGATCACAGCAAAGCAGCCGTCTTGTAGCAGCTGGCTAACAGGCAGCTTCCTGCAACAATTGGGAGGGAGAGAGAAATAATTCTCCCTAACAGAAAATGCCCACAGAGCTACCTGTGCAGATACTCCTCTCATTTCACCAAGAAACAGCAGCATTGACCTTTCACAGCTTGAGGAAACGGCCATCCAAGTCCACCTCTTAACAGACAGACTGCCAATCTAATCCAGGAGTCCTGAGGTCTAGATTTTCCAGCTCTACTCACCAGGATCACATTTATCAAGCTGGTATTTTCTTTGGTTTTCTACTCCCACACCAAATCCAGAGCCAGAACAGGCAATGTTTCCATTTTTTGTGACCCCACCATCTACTTTTGGTCACATGTCCACCGCAAAACTAACTCAGGTTCTTCCCCAGAGGCCTTCAGTTCTTGACTCTCACCTCACACAAGGTTTGATCAGCTTAAGTCACTTCAGTCAGCTTAACTGCCCAGTCTCAGTACAGCCCAAGGCCCCAGTAAGGCTTTCACTCAAGTTCACAACCTGACCACTCTGCGGCAAGGAGACAGGCTAAATTTGCCGTAATTCCTCCATGTCTCTACAATAACAGCAGCACAAAGGACCACAGACATTTTCCTTGAAGTCCTAATAAATGCAGGCTTAGACACCAGCACAAACATCTCTGCAACCCAGCTACCTCCCACTGGGCTTCCTACCCACAGGGCCAGCAACCTGAATTAGCTCTGCAACAACGCTCTTGGAAGACACCAAAAGGAACTTTCTGAAGGCATGTCTTACCTGTAGTTCTGATAGCTTCTATTGACTTTCCTTTATACTTATCAAACAGGCTGAGAGTCGAGTACTTGCTTTTCCCATCCTTTCCCTTGGTTATTTGCCCCAAACGATCGGACATTGCGATGAAATGTCATCTAGTAAGGAAATTTCTCTGCGCCGCTCCCGATCTGCCTTTTAATTGAAGAGAACCAGGGAAATGCCATCAAACAGATTATTTGGCCACAGACAAGTAAAAAGTAAACCACGCACAACTGCTAGAACTGTAGATATTCAGTCAGCAGATGCAATAAGTTAGAAGGTTTTAACTCCCTTCTCTTTAGTCTCAAGAAGCTTGTGGGATTTAAGATTCATAAACTGAATGAAAAGAACTGCAGGAACACACTTCTCACAGTATCTTTTTTTTCCCGCCATTCCAGTGTTGAAATAGGTGAGGTTCTTTATGAGAAAACAAGAGACTGTGGTCAGCATAGTCTTTGCTTTAAAAGAATGTCTAACGATAAGCAGCTATGCACAAGGATACCTAAACACAAGTGACAGAAAAGCACGGTATCTTATACCACACCGGAGTCTACCATTAGGTTTCCCAATGAAGCACTGGTAACTGGTAACATAACTGGATTATGCTTCCACACTGGCCACAGTTAATGACTCGTACCAGCAATTAATGCTTTGAAAGCATCACCTAAGGGCAACAGAGTTATTTCTTCAAATTCCCTTTTGCCATCTGCTGGCATGAGAGAGAGTTAAGGAATCCAAACAACCTGCTCAAATGAAACAGGTTCAGACTCTTGAACCTGTGAGTTGAGCAGTTCTTCTATGAATCCTGAAAAAATTTTATAAAAAAAGATTACATTTCTCTGTTGCTGGCACCTTCAACACCATTTTTAGCTATGAATATACTTTTCACAATGGATGTGCTTTGTTAATTTTTCACTCTGATCTTTGCTGGCACAACACACTGTTATTAACACCCTTCATGTGAGCACTCTCTTTACTTTCACTTTTTGGCTCTTGGAGCCCAAGACAAAGTTGAAACATGGGGAACGCACACACTGTAAGTCAACTTCTGTGTCAGAAAAGAAACTCTGCTTACTTTCAATGGACCTTTCTTTCATTTTTTCGGGTATAATTCTTTAAGTTTTCTCAAAACTAAGACCTTAATCTAAGCTTTTCACACATAATTTTTATTTCCAGATTCCTTGTCGTAAAGCCTCCACTTCAAGCCTAATGCTGCTGGCAGTTTTATTATACCATCTGCTAGGTCCTATCTTAGGGTTGCAACTCTGTGTTGGAGTAACAAAATGCTATACATAATCAGACCTTTCCACCCTTTACCCTTTCTGAAACTCATCCATCCGAAAGCATGTTTCAATTTCAGTCAGAAATCACTCTTTCTGAAAGAACGTGTATCTGACCAGAGGCTAAAACTTCCACCAGCAATGCCTGATCAAACATGATTTCCAGGTAAGAAAATTAGTCCATCATGCATTATGTACAAAATAAAGCACAGACCACAAACATGTTGGATATAGCCAGTTTGAGAAGGTACTCTGATCTGCAACTAGCCAAGTAAAGCCCATCTAAAGGCTGCTGCCAGGAGGCAAGTTTCTGACCAACTGACCTGGCACCACACAGCGTTCATTCTTGCATTGCAGGATTTAAATCGGGCCCAGCAGGAGCAAGAAGCCATGGACTCCAAGCTAAGCAGCAAGCAGCCCAGTCAAGGACAGTGGAATAAAAAGCATTTTCTGTCACTCAGTAATAGCATCCGCAGGACACTCATGAAGAACACCAGGCTCCACAAGAAGCCGCACTCAGCCACCTTTGCTGACCACCACATGGGGCTGCAGCCCAAACGCTTGAGGAGGCAACAGGGATGGCCAGCGTTCTTGAGGCACCTTTTTCCTGCAGAGTAGCAAACAGATCTTTGGCTCCAGTCTGGTTCAGTCTTTGCTCAGATGGTCACTGCATACCAAAGAAAACAATAGCTCCTCCCTCACTTGCCCATTTCCACTATATTTAATTAGCGGGACAGACATAAAAGAGAAAGGGAAAAAAACCCCACTGATTAGCATGGACTTGGCAGGAAAGTAGAAGCTGGACTGAGAACAATGACCTGTTTGAACTGGCAGAGTTGTGGGGAGCTCCGGACCAGAGCAAAAAGCAGAGGGTGCTGCATGCCAGCCTTCAGCTGTGCTGGTAAGAGCACAGCCACCTGCTTTTACAGGTATACTGAGCCTTGCAGTGGAGCCTGGCTCAGGGTCTACCCCGACCACGACAATCCCGTTCCAACCTCACACAGTTCCAAGCATAAAATCCATTCTGAGGTTTAGAAAACTCAAACCAGACAAAATTAGTAGAGATTAGAAAAACAAGAAAACAAACACCACAGCTACCATCACATCAGGTTCAGGAGTTAGCCGGTTAACAGAAAATCCCTGAGTTCCTGAAAGTCAGCATGCAAACAGCAGGCAGGGTAACGCTGCCAAAGAGAAACCCTGACAACAAGTTATGTAACTGGGTCTCAGCTGCCTCTTGATTACATCTTATATCATTAATAGGATGCGAGAAGAATAAACAACCACTTCAGAGCAGAGGAGCTGGGGACACATTGGAATAAAGCCCCTTGTGTCAAACTTTCCGGGACAGCCACAACTGCTGTCTAAGTGAAATTTACTTTGAACTCCTTCAGCTCTTTGAAGCCGAAAATGTGAAACACAGCTTTGTTTGTGTGTTATGTGTGCGCTCCAAAGGGGAAAGCAAGTCCACGGAGAGGTGAGGCAATTTCCACACAGTCACCGTGCAAAGAGGCTGCAGAGGCACCGAGCCCCCTCAGAGCCATCCCGGAGGCAGGACCTTGCTGCCTGTCCCTCCTGGTGGCAGCCAGCTGCAGATCCAAAGTAGTCCATAGGTGTATTGGCCAGGGTGATCACTTGGCACCCAGGTCACCCACAGAACTTCAGAAAGACCACAGAGCCTCCCAAGGCTGTCGCAACACTGGGCTACTTTCCCACCATGCAGTCAAGCGCAGAATCCAGGCAGGGATCATCAAGGCCTTCCAGAGAGAAGCCATTTCTGATATAAGTCAAGCTCATTAAGAATTGAACTGCCAGCCTGCAGGCTTATTCTTAGGTGAGCTAGAACCAGAAGGCACGTGCCAACGCTGACAACTGAAAACTGACAGTCTCAGCAAAGCCTCTGACCTGTGCTCAGGGTCCCTGTGTCCGATAGCTGACCCTGAAGAAAGCATTATCCGTCATTACAGAGAAATAAAAAAAACTCACCAGCATTTCTGCAAGGTTTCTTTCTGGGTTTATAGAGGAAGGTTCGCTACCAGGTTTAGCATGGAGCTTAGCTCTTCCTGTTCTCAAGACTAACAAGGTCTTCTGCGATATCCAGGGACAGCACCAGAGTGCAAAATACTGAGTGTCTCAGAGGAATCAGAAAATACTACAGTACGACCAGTTGCATTAGAGGCCCTAGGGTACAAATAACTGTGCCAGAATCACTTCCTGGGCAGAGAGCTTCGCTACCCAGGAGTCTTCATGTCCACACTGTGCTGCCCTGGATTTCACATGTGGGTATTGACCCTGTCTAACTGCCTTTTAAAGGGGCACGTTCAAATCCAGAGAGAGCAACAGTGACAATTTAAGTGCCAGAGCATGCAAGGCTTGGAGCTACAGCACGGATCTACCAAGCACAGGGAGCCTGTCCTGCAAAAACAGCCATGTGAAAACCTTGCGTTACTGGCAATGGTAACAACTGGAAACCCCTGAGCTGAAAATACAGCTAAAGGGAGAGATTCCTGACAAACAGGATTGTCTGCAAAGCTCTTTGTAAATCTATGTATGAAGGAGGCTGGGCTGCTGGTGTTTTATTCACAAGACTTCAATGGAGCTTGAATACCTGGAAGTTAGCCAGCCTTAATTGAGCAGGGCAAACAGAGGAATGAAAGGTAACACACACACACACACACACACACGAAGGAATCACTTCAGCTACTCGCATACCACTGAGCACAATCACTCAGGTAAAGGACCTGAGACCACTGCAGACCTTCACTCCTTGCTCATTTCACAGCAGCAGTCACAAACACAAACCAGAGCAAAAGGATGGAAATTAACAGTGAAAAGGCTTTTCTCCAGAATCAGGAAGATTTTTGACCTGAAATTTTACACAAATTATTCAGAAACCCACAGGTTGCAAAAACAAAAGAATAAAGAGAAGTGCTTGGAATTGATGTTAAACTGAATTCTATCGTGGTTTCTAATGTCATTGGTAACATGAAACCATTTAAAAACATAGTCTAGTTTTACAGAAGATTAGTGATGTTTACTCTTTAAATACACACGGTCCATTTTGCTGGTACTTCTCAGAGCTAAACATTTATCTGTAAACAGGGAGATACAACTAACTTCTCCTGGAACACATCTCACCAAGAATCACCTTTGTGAAACAGTCGCCACCTGCCTCAGCAATGAAAGACACCACTGGCTGCCCTTGGAAAAGCACTGGTGAAACAGTGTGACCAGCTGCACATATCCCCTGTAGAAGCCACATTTTGGGCCAGGCAGGGATCATCAGCCTAGCAGGGACGGACTGGATGAGCATTCTGTTCCTAGGAGAGACTGCTTAGTAAGGAGGGGAGCAACAGGAGAATATCAGCATTGAAGTACAAAGTCAATAGGATCAATGAAGAGAGCAGTGCAGCAGGTAGAGGCTGTAGCAAGAGGCTAGGCCACAAGCCGCTGCTTGCTGTCATTCTATTGCATTGTTTCCAAAGGGAGCTACTAAGATTTGTGGGTACACCTGAAAAAGAGCCTGCTGAGATCCTGAGTGTAGTACCAAGTCTTGCCAGACAGGGAGAAGCAAGTCAGCAGTCTGCAGCGCAGAGAAAAGATAGACACCCCACAGCAAAGACAGCTCCTGATTCACAAGGGGGAACTCTCCTTGCTTAGCTGAGCAGGTGTATTTGGCAGTACCAGTTCTTTTAATTCTGCACAATTCCAGCTTCTCTGTGCATCTCCTGTAAACCTCGTCTCCTTGTAAAAACAGGGAATGGGAGACCAGGATCTCATCTCTCATGATTTATTGCAGAGGTATGCTGCTAGCTGAGTAAAGCTGTTGGAGGCTGTCCGCCAGAAGACTTGCCTGCTGGTCAGCCCCATCATC